ACTCTGAATTTTGCAGCAACAATGATGTCGTTTCTGTGAAACAATAAATATAAAATGAACTTAAAATTACAATTTGTATGTAATTTGTTGCAAACTTTCTACTTTATACATCTCGATACGATTTTGACTGTTTGTCTGACAGTTCATACGGACGGTTTGTTATTATAATTTTCTAAAATGGTAACCCTTTTGTTTGAAGACAGTTTACGATCAGCAAGTTTTACTTCGTAGACTGGCGATTGGTGCTAGTTGAGTCATGCATAAAAATGTGTGTTTTGTGTATCGGTATATGTGTGTGTGACAACCACAACAAAACTAAACGAAATTGTATCACAAAAGGCCGATTCTATCGGGTTATGTGTGTGTGTCAACGACAGCATGAAATCTATTATACGTTTTGTGACACTTTATCAGCGACACAAAATCGAAAGACAAAAACATAACAACGAGAAAATAATTATGTTAACAATTCGAAGAGACCGCAGTGATGGTGAGGAGGGAACCGGACATCATTGAATTTTATGCAATAGTATCGTCTACGTTTTGTGTTACATAAAATGTACAAAAGTATCTCTTTTATTCATTTTCATATGCACTTTTTTGTGTGTTCGTCAAAATTTCCATGGCAATGCACATAAACAAAGTTTTCAATTTGGCAATTGTATTCGTTTGGTTCTATTCGCTTCGCATTTTATCTCGCGTCGTTAATTACATTTGTGCATTTAATGAATTAAATCATGATGGCTTTTGGCCATTCGAATATGATTTTTTTCTTTATGAAAATTTGTTTGATTGTTTTAAACCAGCATTTTTCACTCATCTATTAGCTCTTTGTGGGTGTATGGGTGCAGTGCAATTGTGCATAAAACAAAGGAAGGGAGATAGAGAGAGAGAGAGGGATAAAGGGTGGATAAAAACTTTTCGTTCATTCCATACTTCCGATCGATAGAATGAAGTGTGCACAAACAGAAAATTCAATAAAAGTGCAAATTATGCTCGACACTGTTTGATCCGGGCAATTCAAGCCAACGATAAAGTTTCCCACTTGCATGCCCATTCCATATTGAGAACATACTACAGACACATTCTTTTACCATCTAGCAAATTCTTTTTTGTGTATGCATTGTGCACAACAACAACAAGCGTTAACCATATTTTTATGTCGCTTCATCGAAGCGTGAACAGAAAAAAAAATGTAGCAACAACCCACACTATGCTCGCGTAATTGTGCATATTCAATTGTATTACTGGCTATGTATTCATACTATTATTACCTTATAGCACCACAACACATCACAATTTGTGAACCCATTGAAATGAAACCAGAGGGAGAATGGAGAGATTCCCAAGAGCCAATTCTTCACCCGTTGGCATTGTTGCGTGTTCGATACACAAAAAAAAAACAAACTTTAAAATATGATTTTCTTCCGTTTCCCCCCCATTCCTTTCTCTTTGTGTAACATTTTTCTTCAATTAAATTTCATTTGCTTCGTTAAGAATGATTCTATCCACTAAAGTAATATTTGCCCATGATAGCCATATATTCATGAGACAATCACATTTTAAAAATGTAATGACTTTTTATACATTTTGTTGATGATGATTAATTCTTTGCCATTCATATTGAGTATTCCAACGGTAGCTTACGTTTTATGATCCGCAACACGTTATTTTATTGGTATCATTCGACATCTTTTTTATGTTCTAAAGAAGTCATTTGAATTTAGCCGTTGAATCTTTGTGTTTTCTTTTCGTATTTGTGCATAACATTTTTCTTGTGCTCATTAGAATGTATTTAAAATCACGAATTACAATGTTACACTTTCGAATGTGAGATTCAACCATCAGAATTCTGACTTTATTTTTGTTTGGTTTTTGTTAGTTTAAACAAAGAGCCAAATCGTTTCTATTTCGTGATTTGGAGAATGTGCAATGTGTGTGTGTGTGCGTGCATGTTTGCGATGTTTATCACCCACGGAACAAGTTACTCTTTAAACAATAATATAATTCAAACATTTTCCCGAAGTGTACATATAAACTTGCGACATCGTTATTTTCAACGTCAACATCGGCAATTGTATGGTAATTTGTGGCAAGAAGATTTGTGCATTGCATGAAGTGTGTTTATGCTCATAATTACTAATTCCGTCCGTGGAATTTAGTCGGGACAGAGTGCGTGCAATTTGAATTGGTTGCGTTTTGTCTTGAGTAAAAGTTTTACGATTGTTTTATGTTTGATAGATTACGATATGCAAATGGGCATGTGTCTTGCAAGTGATGTGAATTTGTGGCGGTGGGAAATTACAGTTTAATACCAAAAACTGAGCCCGCATATTCATCATTTTTCAAGAACCCACGCTCACCGAGAGAGATAAAGAGAGAGAGAAGTATTAAAGGAAATATCTATGCTATAAACTGCAGACAGCGGCTCCATTGTCTTACTCGTTTTCGGCTTTTTTGTTCGTAAAATTGTGGCGTTGTGTTTTTTTTCAACAGCCATCAATTAAACAAAGCGAATCGATATTTCACAGACAGAATGAAAACCAGCACAAAGCATTCTTTATTAGTCATATTCGGCTCCAAATATTCTAGAGCACAGGAAAATCGGACTGTTTTTGTTCATGTCATGGAAATTTATTTATGGTCAAATATCACGAACATCTCATATTGGCAATTGCCAATGAAAATGATTATGACTCATCATAAATGGCACAACGATGGACAGATGAGATTTCAATTTGGTCACGATTTTTTTTTTTTTTGGTGTGCTCTCGATTTGTCTTTTGGGGTAAAACGTATGTCTTTTTATGTAACAAAAATATGGTTTTATGAAAATTAATCTTTAACAATAGATTGTATATCGCAACAGGCACACATCAAAATGGTTAAATAGGTACGTAGGTTGCTCCATAATTTTTTTTAAAATGGTACTTATAGTGTTGCCCGATGTAAACCATTGTCATATTCGTAAAGTTTGATGTTTTGGTATGTATTCGTGCCCTGAACCTTTTGTCGTACGAACGCTATTTGTATTGTTTACAGTGACTGGTAAACTGCGACTCAACAAAAAAATGAATTTTACACGTGAAGATTTTCGTAAAATGATTTACTACGATTTTCGAAGTAAATTATCTCAACAACAGTGTTTCGATCGACTTCATTTGGCCTTTGGCAATGAAGCACCAACCCTTCAGACAATTTATAACTGGTACCGAGAATTCCGTTGCGGTCGTAGTTCGCTCAAAGACGAGTTTCATACAGGTCGTCCAAAATCGGCTGTTGTGCCACAAAACATCGATGCTGTCAGAAAACTGATTATGGAAGATCGTCATGTGACCTACCGTGAGATTGAGGCATCTTTGGGCATTTCATCCCACAGCATACATACAATTTTGCATGAACATTTAGCCGTAAAAAAGATTTGCTCTCGTTGGATCCCACATAAATTGACCGATGAACAAAAAATGGCTCGTGTGAGTTGGTGTAAAGAAATGCTCAAGAAATTCAATCGTGGTGCTTCAAAAGACGATAATAAAATCGTCACTGGTGACGAATCGTGGATATATGCCTATGAGCCCGAAACGAAACAGCAGTCGACTGTATGGGTCTTCCAAAATGAAGATAACCCAACGAAAGTTGTTCGAGCAAGAAGCACTTCGAAGCGAATGGTCGCCTGTTTTTTCGGGAGAAGTGGTCATGTGGCAACCGTTCCACTAGAGGATCGTAAGACCGTCAATTCTGATTGGTATACCACCATTTGTTTGCCCGAAGTGTTTGGTGAAATAAGAAAAAACAACCACCGTCGCAAAATAATTCTTCATCACGATAATGCGAGCTCTCACACATCTTTTCAAACTACTCGATTTTTGACCGGTCAAAACATCGAACTGATGGGTCATCCACCGTACAGTCCTGACCTGGCACCCAATGACTTTTTTTTGTTCCCAAGCGTGAAGAAAAAACTACGTGGTCAACGATTTTCGACACCAGAAGAAGCAGTTGAAGCGTTCAAAACACACGTTTTGGAGATATCAGTTTCGGAGTGGCACGAATGCTATGACAAATGGTTTCATCGAATGCAAAAGTGTATCGATCATCTCGGGGAATATTTTGAAAAACAATAAAACCATTTTCGACAAAAAACAACTGTGTTATATATGTTTTTAAAAAAAATTATGGAGCAACCCTCGTAAAAGTGTGTGCGCCGGTGAATTTATGTGGAATAATCGCATTTGTGCCCAACATTTCAAAGACACATTCAAGCTATTATATTGGCTGTTGTCACAAAGTAAACAAACTGAGCTGATAAGAATGGAATTTGGAGCGCATATAGTCGGTTAGCATAGAAATGCCATAAAAAACTACACAGTGAATTCTTATGATGAATGTGACAGTGTTATCGCTTACATGCGTGAAAATGTATGGCATAAAATTGCCACCTTGACATAGACATGTCGCGTTGTTAATCAAAGCCGAGCCTTTCGAAGGTTACATGGAGCTGTGGCATAAATGCCATAATTTTTTACTAACCGCGTGTTGTTGTTTTTTTAATTTTATTTTCATTCAGTTGATTTGCTGTCGAAGGTCAAAGATGACTTTATGGCGTGTGCTAATTTAACCCATCGACTAAATTAGATAGTGGTGGAGTTGATATATTCGTGTGTATGTGTGTATGAATTGTGCTCGTGGGTGAGGCTGAGATTGTTTGAGATTTAAATTTCTCGCATTCATGCAATGTTTTCGCATTAACGGACAATACTGGAGAAAAAAAAAGAAAAACACAAATGTATAAACAAATCGATACAAAAACCTTGTTTTCAACATTTCTTTCCATATACACAACCGAACAAAATTCAAATTTGCATAATAAATCAACCCTTCCCCTTTATCCACTTCAAATTCAAGGTTGAATACCTTGAGCTTGATTTTCCACACATTGTCAACAAAACCATAAAAAATTCATTTTCTAATTTGGTGTTTTTGTTTTTCATTTTGAACAGGGATCACGTGAGGAGCGTGTACCAAATCCACATGGTGGCATTGAATCGAGCAGCTTACCGTCAAACGGCCAATATGCATCACATAAACAATTGAAACATTCTATATCACAATCGGGTTCAACGCCGGCATCACCACAATTGCATCATCAATTGTCAAATGGCCATCATCAATATCATTCACAGTCATCGGTTAGTTCGCAATCATCATCGATAATATCGACAATACCGGCATCACAACGGCTACTCGAAGAGACACTTGCCAAACCAGGCCCATATTCAATGATTGTGCTGCCGAATAACGGCGGCTATTGGGTCGATGGAACGGACCACGAATGCGCATTCGATACACTCGGCAATCCAGTTTTGCCGCATAACGCATGGCGCAGTAAATTTGAAACGGACGACACCGCAAAATGCTATCGCCGTTTCTACATAAATCGAGAACATTCAAATCTTGTGGGTCATGATGATCAACTGGGGCCGGTTCTCTTATCGATCAAAGCGGAAAATGTCGCAAACCAAGAACATATCAGAATTTTATTGCGATTAAAAACGGGCACCATGCATGAAATTATACCGGTTTCATGTTTGGGAAATAACCCATCACCAATCCGAATGGCACGCTTGTTAAATGAACAAATCAATGTGGACAATTTTATGCCAGTTATGTGTCCAAAAGCATCGGGAATGATTGCCGCCTACGATGAGCATGTGCTTGTGTCGAATTTTAAATTTGGTATATTGTATCAACGACACGGTCAAACAACCGAAGAAGAACTTTTTGGAAACAATAACACATCGCCGGCATTTGATGAATTTTTGGATATGTTGGGCCAACGAATTCGATTGAAAGATCATAAAGGCTATCGTGGCGGTTTGGATATACAAAATGGTCATACGGGCGACCAAGCCATTTATGAAGTATACAAAGAACGTGAAATTATGTTCCATGTATCAACAATGCTCCCGTTCACCGAAGGTGATCCACAGCAGTTGCAACGTAAACGACACATTGGCAATGACATTGTTGCCATTGTATTCCAAGAATCGAATACACCATTTTCGCCTGATATGATTGCCAGCCACTTTTTGCATGCGTTTATCGTGATTCAACCGCTCGAACCAAATACACCGAATACACGATACAAAATTTCCGTTACCGCACGCGATGATGTTCCATTCTTTGGTCCAACATTACCAAATCCGGCCGTTTTTCGAAGAGGTGCCGAACTCAAAGAATTTTTACTCACAAAATTAATCAATGCGGAAAATGCATGCTACAAAGCTGATAAATTTGCACGGCTTGAATTGAGAACGCGTACATCACTTTTACAAAATTTAGTGGAAGAACTAAAAGAAAAAACGCGTGACTTTTTAGGAGCCGATTTGAGTTCGGGCGGTGCCACGTCACCTGCTCCCGATACGCCGAAATCCGACAGCAGTAATGCTGGTTCAAGGTTCATTGATACCGTTAAAAAAGCGCTAATCTCACGAGTACGGTCACAAAGTGTTGATGCAAATGTTGCAACCGAAGCAAATCGCATCAATTATAATACCAAAAAAGGATCGAAAGAAGCGACAATTATGGAAAATATTCAGGTAGGTCACAGTCAATTATGACATCATTTTCTCTGGTTGTTTTGTTCACACTTTTTGGAATTGATTTTAATCTAAAATAAAATATATGTATTTAATTGTATGCCAAATAGATCGCTCGCTCAAATTCAAACAAAAGCGATTCGAAAAAGTCAACCAACGATTCGTCATCATCGTCGCCTGACATCACATCACGCGGACCATTTTGCGGAAATAATAACAATAATAACAACAACAGCCAAAGCCAATCGAACCACAATTCAAATAATATCAACAACAATTTGAATAATAACGGCAACGGTCCAATGACTGCAACAATGTCCGAAACGAGTGACGATTCCAGTTTGAACAGTGTTGAGCTCGATCCAATGGGTAAGACATGTTTCTATTTTTTTTTATTGTTTGATAGTCTTTTACATTGATTGTTAAATGCATGCATGCCGTTTGATGTTGTGGAAACTGGATAAATGTTGTATTTGTTTAGTTTTTCTCCGCAAACATAAAAATCAATGCGCCGTATGCTAATCGGAAAATTTCTTCTTTGTACGTTATGACTTATTCTCAAAGTATTCACTAATTTAGATGGTGGAGCTACGTATGTGGATTCCGATACTGGTTTGGAATCAATGTCATCGGCTGAAGCAACAACAAAAGCATGCTCGTTGTGCTTAGATGGTGTGGTTGCATCGAATAATATGATGGTGCCGCCAGAGGCAAATATGCAAATCGATGGTTTAAAACAGGAAGTAACACGATTGAAATGTGATAAGTTGGATCTTTTGCGACAGAATGTGGTGAGTATTTTTAATTTGTCTTTTTTTTGCATTCCCATCATCTTTCAATTGAATCAATTTCATTTAACAAATCTCGTTAATTATTTTAAAATAGACATGCCAGAGGGACATAAAACGACTGCGTGAACGTGAATTATCATTACAAGGTGATTTAGCAGCGGCTGGCAAAGAAATTCTACGATTACGCGATTTGCTTAAGGAATATTTGCCCAGCTCAACAACACCGCCACATTCAATTTCTCCCATGTAAATAGGCTGGATATGAATTATAGTCAGAGACAAAAACAACGGAACAACGCAGGAACTGAGCTTCAACTGATGCATGTGCGGCGTCTTTCGTTCGCAAAATAAATTTCGAATCGCATAGCGAATATGAAAACAAAAATGGAATGAAAACATTTTGTCATAGAGATAAATGATCCGTATTAGAATTAGGAAAAAGAAATGATTCTGACATAAAACAATTGAAAAAAGATCACAATAATATCGCACACATTCAATAGCACATCTATTTAGTAAAACATACACTCACTCAATCACACTCACACATAAAAATCGTGATATGCAAAATGCATATAACACACAAACGAAATCAATGCACCAGATAAAATTACCACTGTTTTTTTTTTGTTTGCATGGCAATTCAACACATATGTGCCCCCAAAAAAGAACGGTGTAGACGAGCTCTAATTGTCATTTATATAGTGTTTATTCAATAAGTGTATAAATATTTGTAATAATCGTACTTTTCACACAATATTGAAGGAGAAAAATGAGAGGAGAAAACTTCATAGAAATTACTAGATGCATTCGTGTGCAACATTAAAACAACCCAGACAGTGCAATCAAAAAAATAACAATTTAATATTTTAATGTAAAAGAAAATTGATAGAAAAAGTTATTTACATTTATGGTTTTTTTTAGAAAGAGAGAAAGAAAACATAAGACAGATTTTCTGTAATGACTGTAGCGTAGGCAAAACGTTTTGTTTTTCTTTCAACGATTCTAAGATAAGATAGTGTTTGCAAATTGATTGTTCATCGAGAAAGATGGTTTGAATGACATTTTATCGATAAATTTGCATGATGAACGATGCACATTTTTAAGCATAAGACAAATTTTAAATCAGAAAAAAATAATCATACCCTAAAACACGATTAACCACACTCACACAAAAGTACACACCACCTTAATTCTAACCAACCAAGTCCGTTTAACATCTTCTCAAAATTGGACATTTTTTTTCTTTTTCTTTTTCTCATCGTACGAATCTCAATGTTGAATGTCTATTTTATTGCTAAAATTAGCAAATGAACAAAGAAAACCACTATTTTGAGATTCCATGTCAAATGCCAAATTCTAAATAAATCAATTTCAAAATGTTATTTGATACCTACATATATATGATGTGTTAGCTTTAGAAAACTATTCAACAAAATAAATTTATCGAAATTAATGTTTTGGAGTCAAGAATAATAGTAACATTTAGCAAAAGTAATAAAAAAGAGAGAAAACATGTGCAAGAGATTATAATATAGTTAAATTGCGAACAGGGTTGACAAATGGTTCGATGGAAATAATGTCTTTTGGAATGGTTTTGAAACCCAAACATGGAATATGACACTAATAAAGTAATAGGAAAAACACACACACACATCTGAACAAAATGACAAACCAAATTAACCAAACAAATTTAGCATCGATGTTAAAACAAAATTAAATTAACAAAGATTATTATTAACTATGCCAAGCTAACTATGAGAAAAAGAAAATATGTTTTTAAATTGAATGTTATCAAATGACAGAAAAAGAACATGCAAACAAATATTTAATCATATTAATTGTTTTATGAATGTCATTTAATTGTAATTTTACAAATTTCAAAAAAAAAAACAACACAAATCTATTATGAGAGTATTCGAATTTCTAGTTAAAACAAATAACAAAAATTGATGTTAAACGGCCAGAAGATCCAAGTAGTGAAATTCTTTTGAGGAAATTCCTTCGACCATCCCGAAAAAAAAAAATCATCCGAAAGAGTCAATTTTTACCATCGAAATTGTCCGCAACATACCCAGATACAATTTAAAGCGGACAAAATAAAAACCAAAGATTTAAACACAAAACAAAATCAAGCAGCTTTCAGGGAATCTTCACCAATTCCTGATCGTTAATAAACAATGAACTATTATCAATTTAAATAAATCTTTATTCCACACATTATTTTACTTATTTCTTTATTTTAATGAATAAGATGACAAAAAAATACAAAAAAAAATTCAACTAAAGATAAGAAATAATTCTATCGAAAATCTGTTATCAAATGGTAATATATTTATGTTAATATTATCAATGATTATTGATCGTTTTTTTCTCTTTGAAAATCATTTTATTTATCGATTTAAAAATCAATAATAGTTTTTAATCCTCCTTTTTTCTCACTTCTTTTTCTTATTTTTTAAGAATTTTTTTTTAATATAAGTAACTCACACACCCCTTTTTTTAAATTAATTCTACTCTCTTTTCGTTCTTTCTCGAGATAAGATCAAAGATTTTTACGTACAATTCTAATATATTTAATGAAATGAAAAGAGAAAGAAAGCAAAATTATGTTTATGCAAATTATCGATAAACAATATTTACTTCTAATTTCAAACACAAACACATACATACAACATATATAGACACAAATCTATTAGATACATTCATAGAGTATAGAACAAATCCATAAAACAATTCATATGAATACGTAGTATTGGAACTATTACTGTCAAAATAAACTCACAAAATATATCTATAACAAAATGCCATGTCGACTTTTTTTTCTCAGTCTTGAATTTTTGCAGTTTAATTGATTTTCAGCGAGACATTGTTTAATGTGCTTTGTAGTATCGAAATGCAAGTATATATATTCGCAGAGACGCCGCTGTTTGACTCTAATTGTCTAATTACATTAAGACAGGTTTATTACACACAGAAGCTTCTGACTCACAAAATTCTCTAATTACACTGCTTGCACATCAACAAGAGAGAAATTGAATCTTTAAGTACCGTCTTATATACGCGTTCATTGAAATAGCGCCGTAAATTATGCAACCTGCTGATATTTTTTTTATGTGCATTTTTTCCTACTTTCGACGAAGAGATAATTTTTTCAATCATTTTTTCTATGGCACAAACAGCTGAATGAACACATCGGATCGAAGCAAAAAATGTAATTGCATCGTAAATAAATCACTTTTTGCTATCGAGTTTTACGTGAATTTTGAAAAAAAGAAGAGATTTCACGTTTTTGTCGTCACGAGATCGCTGAACACGGCAAAAAATGACACCCTTTTTTAGCGGAATGCGATTTTTTTCCACATTGGAAGTGTAAACAAATTGTGATGAGAAGGTAAAATTATGATTGTAGAGAAAATATGGAGAGATAGACACAGATAGAAAAAGAAAGAGAAAGTAGTGTAGCAATAGCAAAAAACGAATAAAGCAACGTAACGAGAAAGAACATTTTATTCCATTAATTTGAAGCTAATTAAATGAAATTTTTCAGATTTTTCCTATATTTGGAACAATATCATTGAGACGACTTTGGACGAGTGCATATTCAAAGATTTCGAATCATTTAATTGACTCTATACATATGCATCCGAAGTTTGATATTACTACGTGTACTTTCCCTTCGATTGAGTGACAAACAACGTAGCAAATAAATGACCGCTTCAAAATGTGATCTGTGGGCTATCTGAATTGTCTTCGAAGTCATCAGCTTCAAATAAAAATTAAAAAAATCTTGCACAGCGTGAATTTGATATAGAATAAGTCGGAACAAAGAATGCTCTGAGCTTACAAAAAAAAATGGTACCATTTGATTTTTACATTTTAATCTATTCATCCACGCCCTCAACATTGTAGCAAAAACTCACAGTGAATCTATAAATAATGAAGGAATTAGATTCTAGAGCAAAAAGAAATGAAGGAAGTTGCTTGTTTACACCGTTCATTGGAGATGATCACGTAATAGATTGTATGGACTCAACATCACGTATTATAAAAACAAAGCCAATCAACTTGATTAAAGAGGCGTATATATGTGTATTCACTAGCATCTGAGGTCATCGTAATATTACCAATAGACTTGATTACAAACGAAAAAAATATAAACAAACCCGTTTTTTTCCACTGAATATTATTTCGAATGGTTTTACGCTCGATTCTATCAGAAGAAATCTTGTTTTTTTAGCCAATCGAATAAATATTTTTCACTGTAAAATTCTTATCATGGAATATCCCACCCGTAAATATCGCTATTCACACATAGGAATTGTTTAATAGACAATAGCGAACAAAATTGCTGATAGAAAAATAAGTTTTTCAAATAAAATACCTGAATACAGTTAAATTGGATCGAAATCTATATCTATGTAATGCACAAAATCGACATACAATGTGTGATATTTAGAAAGATCATGAGAGGGGATAATTGAAAAAGCACCTTGTGAAATGGTTAAAAGGTTTCAATTACTTTGCAATTTCTGGAAAGATTTGTCAATTATAAATGCTACTTGCTTAATATGGCCCACTTCTGTGGAAAATTGATCCCATTGTTCGTCTAATAAGTGCGAAAAAACCTTATCTTTTCTATTGATCCTCAATAACTGAGGGCAACGTGCATATATTTTATGTCCGTGCAGTTTATCAAATTCAAATATATTTTGTAGCTATCAATGCCCCAGCGTTGAGTGCGTAATTTTTTTTGCTATCAATTCAATTTGACTTTTTTATTGTTTTGCTAAGCGCATTATAAGTCATCTTCATTTTTGTCATTATCGCACGAAAAATACATTCAAAACATGATTAAAAAAATGCATCGTTTATTATTTACTGCGAAAAAATGAAACTAACGACAAATTTGATAATCATTTTGGTATAAATATCCCCCAAGCGAGCCACTCTCATCAATTCACTTTCACAATCCATTCAGATCGATTGCAAGAGTTACAAAACAAAACAAAAAAAACCGCCAAGATGAAAACCGACTTCTGCTTCAAGGGAATGATGGTCCCAGGTACGTAGAATTTTTTTTAAATATATTTTCTAAAAGGACTTTGAAAATTGCAGTTAAATTTTAAATTAACATTTGAAAAATGTATTATTTGCAATATTCTCTCAATATTTTTCTTCTTTTTCTCTTCCAACTTTAGTTTTCACTCCATTCATGGATGACAAGTAAGTTGTTCTTGTTTAATAATAAGTTAAAAAGTATGTTCGCTGAATTCATTCTAATGTGAGGTGCTGTTTTTTTCTTTTTAGGACACGTTCAATCAACATGAATATGGTTGACAAGTACTGTCAATACATGAAATCAATGGGAATGCAGGGAGTTGCTGTTAACACCATTACTGGCGAGGGTATGTGTATGACCATGCAAGAACGTATGCAGATGACTGAAAAATGGCACGAAGCCACCCGCAAACACGGCATGACCATGATGGTTAACATCGGCGGCACGGACCTGCCAAGCGTTTACATGATGGCTGAACATTGCGAAAAAATGAAGGTCGACTGCGTCATGATGATGCCAGACATGTGCTATAAACCAATGACTGAAGAAGACTTGATGATGTACATGAAAGACGTCATGAAGCACTGCCCAACTCGTCCAATGATGTACTACCACATGCCAATGATGACTGGTGTACATAGTAAGTATTCAAAAGAATAAACATTTCATTCGGTGTTTTCTTCGTTATGGTAAGATCGATTCTAATATCAAATTCATATTCGCAGTGGACATGATGCGCATGATGAAAATGATGGAACGGGAATGCCCAATGTTCGCTGGTGTCTACTATTGCCACGATAACATGGACATGATGATGATGTGCAAACAAATGATGCCACACATGAACATGATCTGCGGAACAATGTCATCAATGATGGCATGCATGTCACAAGGTATTTAAAAAAAAACTGGAACCGTACCACAATTACTAAATTATGATATAACAAATATGTTCTATTGTCTCTTTTCTTTCTTAGGCATGGACGCCATCTCAATGGCTGCTATGAACGTGTGCCCAGAAATGATGAAACAAATGTACGACCATATGATGAACCATAAAATGAACGAAGCAAAGATGATTCATGAAAAAATGATGAAATATATATATGATATGTTCCACATGGATGCTGATATGCACTTGAATATGGACTGGATGATGATGATGCGAATGCAAATGGACAAAATGCAACCGATGGGCATAAAAATGGGACCAATGCGCCGTCCACATATGACCATGACCCGAATGTTCTGGATGAATATGTAAACACCAACGGACGAATACTCAAACACCAAAATTCGAAATATAATGCGCTAGATTTTATAATATAAATGCATTTAAAAAAAATTAAACAATTTTGCAAACGAAAAAAAATGTTCATACAGGTTAATAATCTGAATAACAAATTATTTTGTGACAAAAGAAAATATATTAGCGTATTGTGAACCAAATGAATACAACTAAAAGTACTATAAGCAGAAAAACATTTTCAATAAATTCCACGCTTTTACTAACTTTTCGATTAGCAAACAAATGATTCTTATTAAATTAATTTCTTATACTCGATGAATAAATAGCTCAAAAAGTAAAAAAAAAAAAAACAACAAAAAATTAAAGGGTGATTTGCAAGATTTTCTGAAAGTCTTGTGCCCAAATGGTTTTAAAGATTTTTTTTTTTGGTTTTTATGATTCAAATATGCTACACATATCACACATCCGTTTCACACTATATTTCCCTCTATAGGTCCATTTTTGCCATTTCTTAAAAGCATGTTTTTGAGTATCTCTGGGAAAAACGAGTTCTTTATTGGCTACGATATGTTCCAATCGATGTTGAATTATTCGTGTCGATCCAAATGCTTTAAACGATTGTCCAAAGGAGACTGAAAATTGATTGAATCCTCATACTAGATAATTTGTTCACTAAACATGACTTGAAACAAATCGATCGTTCCAGTTGGAGTGTGAAATTCTATTGAAATCATAATTGTTCATTAAAACGAATCAAGCATCATTAACTGCGGCATATCACACAACGTACGATTATAAACAAATTGAAAAACGTCAGTTTTCTTCTACAAAACTTTTTTAGCAAATTTAAAGATTTTCTTCTCCAAATAACCCTAGCAAAATTGAATATTTTCTCCCGTTTTTGAAAGTGAAGAGCAAAAAAAAAGGTCTTCACATTTTTCGAGAAAATTCTTAGCAAATCGAAAGAATATTCTTCTCAAAAAAATTAAATTTCTAAGGGGGTAATTCCCAAAGCTGTTCTCCAGGGGGGAGGGGGTAATACAACCCCTCGGACCCCTGCTCAGAAGCTATGGCTTGGGTTGTGAATTTGCTTTTCTTCTCAGAGAAATTGAACGGAGCAAACTGAGTGGTAAATATTATAAAATGCAATTTTTACCCTAGTCTAAGACAGTTTCATTGTAAAATTGCGACAACAACGATTCTTCTTGGCAATTTTACAATGAAACCGTTTTCGACCACGGTAAAAATGGCATTTTATAATGTTTACCATTCAGTTTCTCTGACGGATTAATAGAAGATGATTTTGTTGATCTTATGTTGATAATAATTAATTCTGTTATCTTCAGTTTTTGATTTATTTTTCTCAACTTTGTTGATATAATTTCTGATGTTCTAAATTCGGAATATAATGTAATTAAAAATTCGAGATGATGAAGAAAAAAATTGTACCACCTGAAGATTTAAACATTTTTCAGATCAATTGAGAAAAATAAATTTAAATCTAGTCGATATGGTAAATTATTGATATTATACTTGAAATTACAAATTAAGATGCAAAGTTCCAACCGAAGTTCTTATGAACGATCAAACTTACTTTTACACGGCACTAAAAGAATTAAAAAAGAATCGATTTTCATGTTTATTTACATAAAAAATATTTGATAATTTTGCATTGACATTCAATCGACTTAAATTATGATTACGCCGACTATGGTTTGTTTGAATTAAAAAGCACAAATTGTGTAATACGACCAAAAATGTGAACAACAAACATGTTCTTTTTAAATCATTCGTTGAACATCCACTTTAAAAATGACTTTAAAAAATTGTGTCTTCATTGAAATAATCTTTGGACTTTTTGCGCAACATTTCTCTTTACATAATTCAAACAAACTGAATGCAAAATAAAAATAAATAAAATCACATTTTTCTGAGATTGGTGCAATACTATCTTTTGCTCTATTTACTGTCATTCGTTTGATCTATTTGACTGGAATTTAAATTGAAATTGTCTCCGGCTGTTCTAGAAATAGCTACCGCTTTGAATTTAATACAATTTATTAATCGTTATCAATACACAAAAACTGAGTACATGATTTATGCTATCATTTTGACTTTTTCAATAGCTTACTTTATTTCGCTAAGCGCATATTCGTATTTTTTTCATTATCGCCACCAAAAATTTATTGACAACGTGATCAAAATTGCATCATCAATTTGAACTTAGTACTTGAAAAAGAACTGTTTAACAAGAAAGATAACGATTTCTTTTGGTATAAATATCCCCCAAGCGAGCCACTCTCATCAATTCACTTTGACGATCCATTCAGATCGATTGCAAGAGTTACAAAACAAAACAAAAAAAACCTCCAAGATGAAAACCGACTTCTGCTTCAAGGGAATGATGGTCCCAGGTACGTAGAATTTTTTTTAAATATATTTTTTCTAAGTACTTTGAAAATTTCAGTTAAATTTTAAATTAACATTTGAAAAATGCATTATTTGCAATATTCTCTCAACACTTTTCTTCTTTTTTTCTCTTCCAACTTTAGTTTTCACTCCATTCATGGATGACAAGTAAGTTAATAATAAGTTAAAAAGTATGTTCGCTGAATTCATTCTAATGTGAAGTGCTATTTTTTCTTTATAGGACACGTTCAATCAACATGAATATGGTTGACAAATACTGTCAATACATGAAATCAATGGGAATGCAGGGAGTTGCTATTAACACCATTACTGGCGAGGGTATGTGCATGACCATGCAAGAACGTATGCAGATGACTGAAAAATGGCACGAAGCCACCCGCAAACACGGCATGACCATGATGGTTAACATCGGCGGCACGGACCTGCCAAGCGTTTACATGATGGCTGAACATTGCGAAAAAATGCAGGTCGACTGCGTCATGATAATGCCAGACATGTGCTACAAACCAATGACTGAAGAAGACTTGATGATGTACATGAAAGACGTCATGAAGCACTGCCCAACTCGTCCAATGATGTACTACCACATGCCAATGATGACTGGTGTACATAGTAAGTATTCAAAAGAATAAACATTTCATTCGGTGTTTTCTTCGTTATGGTAAAATCGATTCTAATATCAAATCCATATTCGCAGTGGACATGATGCGCATGATGAAAATGATGGAACGGGAATGCCCAATGTTCGCTGGTGTCTACTATTGCCACGATAACATGGACATGATGATGATGTGCAAACAAATGATGCCACACATGAACATGATCTGCGGAACAATGTCATCAATGATGGCATGCATGTCACAAGGTATACTACTCTAAAATATTATGATTAAAATGTGAAATTATCTAACAGCATTATGATTTTTCTGTTCCAATTCAGGTATGGAAGCTATGTCAATGGCTGCTATGAACGTGTGCCCAGAAATGATAAAACAAATGTACGACCATATGATGAACCATAAAATGAACGAAGCAAAGATGATTCATGAAAAAATGATGAAATACATATATGATATGTTCCACATGGATGCTGATACGCACATGAATATGGACTATATGATGATGATGCGAATGCAAATGGACAAAATGCAACCGATGGGCATAAAAATGGGACCAATGCGCCGTCCACATATGACCATGGACCGAATGTTCAGAATGAACATGTAAACACTAACAATGCTCAATATTGAAATTGAAAATATGATGCTTTATAGATATAGATACCGTATAGTTTATAAAACTAGCGCATTTATAAAATAATAAAAAGAATACCACTTTTAGCAAGCGAATATTTTTTTCTTTTTCTATTAAAAATCAATCGATTGTACTACCACCGTGCGTGTGCGCTCTTACTGACGCTCTTCTGAATTTCTTTTTATTCATGTTCTTAACATACACAATAACAAACACAGTGCGAGTGGCTAATTACAAATCTAGTAACCATTGCATTAGTTCTTGTCAGAGAGTAGAAAACGCTGCCGCTAAAGTAATACTATATTAACAGTGCCTATAAATAGTTACTATTTGTACACATTTCGATTGTGTGATCACAACAATTTTTGCGAACTCCAATGTGAACAATGCAACTCTTTGTATGTAGATTTTAAATAAAGCATCCGTGGATTTGACATAAAAACGAAACTTTTTTTCGTGTGTCTACAAATATAGGATGACACACTGTATATGCGATCTGAAATAGTTTATATTCGTTCTCCCTTGTGGAGAACATATACTAAAATTGGAACGATACAGAGAAGATTAGCATGGCCCCTGCGTAAGGATGACGCAATTAATTTGACGGATTTAATTTTTTAATTTTTTAATTTTTTTTTCGTTATGGTCCCGGCGCATGAGGGGCTAACCGAAAATCCAAAAATTAGCAACGAAAATCCAAAAATTAGGGGCTAACCGAATGCGCTGGAACCATAACGAAAAAAACAAATTTTTTTTTTCAAAATTTCCACGGATGACACGCAAAAGCATGAAGTGTTCCACATTTTTTTGTAAAAAATCCATTGAACTCTGTTCAAAACGAATGTTTTTAAACTTTTTTATGAAATATTTCATTTGTTACTTTTTTTCAGTATTTTTATTCTCGTCGAAATTGAATTGGATATTTGCATGACAAAAATAGAAAAAAAGTGAAAAAATATATATTTTTTGGTACCGGCGCATTTGTTATACTATTAACTCCAACTTAATACATGCCATGTATTATTGCTTCTTAATTTGCTTAACTCACTCATTGTATACGGGAGATCAGCTGTATTTGTATTATTTCCATTGTGTGAACTATTGAATAGTTTTATGAACGGTAGTATCCAATTCAACGGATTGCTTAAATGGTACAACCAATAGTGTCGAAAAATAAAAGGAAAGGCATAAAATTTTTAACTTTTTTCGTAGAAATTTCCAGTGTCATTTTTCTGTATACACGAAGAACGGTAGTTCAATAAGTGACGCTCCATTTTTTAAATAAGTTTCTTTTAAATCTCTGGACAACATTTTTGTGAGTCCAAAAAAGAAGTACATTTCGGAGTTTGTCGACGAATTTTGGCCGCATTTACTCACCTTTGTCATCCGTTACTATGGGTTTGATTTCAGAACAAATGTGAGAGACAAGTAGAATACCGAACGCAGGTGCGCTCTAATGGTTTTAATTTCAAAAGTATTTTTTTTTCTTTAATGATTTAAAAAATGAAAACGCTGTAAACTAAATAAAAAGGGTGAACGATTGCTGTTGTAATGAATTCAAGAAGGAAAAACAAAATCTTAAAAATGAAACATTCGGGCAAAGGTAATCAAATATACTATGTATTTATTTAATTTTTTTACTAGCGAACATTATGAAACTATTTATTTTAGTGTGAACTAAATGAAGAAAAATATTTCCATTTGGATATTGCTCAATTTTGTTCAAACACTTCCTCATTTTCCGATTTTATTGGGCGTTTAATTTTAAAAGCATTTTCCGGAATAATACAACCGGTTAACCATCGTTTACCATCTGAATCTTCGTGTGTTCTGCGGCCAATTCTGCCGAAGAGAAGAATTCGATCTCTTCTTGTGACGTTTTGTTCAATGTATTTCCGAACACCTTCATCATATACATATACTTGATGAAAACTTGGTTTAGAGATCGTCTCACCTTGCTCATTTCTAAAACGAAAAATAAACAACATGTTTTTAATTAGAACCACGCGAAAGAGTTGAACATTTCGAGCAAAAAACAATTCCAAAAAATGCTTACGATGTTGGGTGATGAGTTGCTGCCACAAATGTGCAATATTCGTCTTTGACCAATACATCAGAAGCAACATTACCGATAATTTCAATGGAATTTATGTCGTCAGATAAATATTCCGATGAATCACTGTTGCTCAATGCATGCGTTTTAAACGCCTTAATTACGCTTTGTGTCAGAGTTTTTCCATCACTCGTTTGGATTGGAGAAGAAACGAAATTTCCGGCAACGTGAATTCGTTCGCCAGGTGTAATATTTGATACAAACTTCGTGTGGACATTATGAATAGTACTATAATAGAAGAAGTAAATTGTGATCAATTTGGTGACAAGCACTATTTTGGAAGAATAATACGTATCAAAATTATCCTTATATAAATAATCATAACAAAACATGAAATAAGTTGGGAGGTAACTTACTAATTTGAATCTGACTCATTTGTTCTGATTGAAAGTGAATGGGTTCCACTTTTGAGAATGTAGGGTTCTTTAGTCAATGTTCCAACTATTCTTACTTCATTAATATCTGCAGAGAAATTACCGCATTGGTCATTTATTTTTAAATTTCAAATATAACCTCAAAATATCACGGAACACGATACCTCATGGAAATAAATTCAGATTTAATTATTTACCCGCTTTTCTGACAATCGGTGTATTTGTGCAGAATCGCACCGGGAAATCGAATGATTTTTTCGCTTGGATCAAAAATGTTCGGATCATTTTAGTTTGAATTTTATAGCTCCGTGAGAAGTGAAATTAAGGCTTTCAGTCGCTGGTTCTTCCAAGACTTTGACAGTTGCTATGTGTCATTCAATTTAAGTGTACCCCGATGACACTTCGAACTGTTCGAGCTTCGAAAAAGGTCGCTACGAAATAAAAACCTAATTTCAAATTGAATTTATTTACTTTTTATTTTGATTAATATCAATTAAAAATAAACTATAAGATTAAAATTGCTTAAAAACAAAATAAAGAACTTTGATATTTAAACCAATGTTTCATCACACACATGACATCCAAATAAGTTGCTATCATGGAAATCAAATCAAATATTGCTCGTCTTCTACAACGTAATGGTAAAAATAGTTTTGGTCACTTTAAGTTCAATGTCAATAAAGTGAATTTTGATAAATAGTCACAATATCGGCCGAACAAAAAGTGTCATATATGTTTGTTTGCTTTATTTGGTTTAATCAATAGCAAATTCTCTTTGTTGTGCTATTGATGCTAGGGGGAGATTGCGAAACAACTTCGCAAAAGAATATGAACAAATATATACGAATATGCCACCAATATATTCCAATACAAAATACTATGTGTGCGGAAAAGTAAAAAGGTGAGCATTCTTTTTAAATAAAATGTCATTCACTTTCTGGGCAAATTGGTAAGTTTGCCTTGCATTTTAAAGTATTTGAAACATGGATAAAATTTATTCACTTAAAAAAAATTAAGTTCAATGAATCAAAAATGAAAGTATCAAATTATTCTTGGAATTATGGAAAGACCATATACACTGAATAGTAAATACAAAATGAATTTATTTTCTTGACCTATAACGGAGTGAAATCTATCGTGTTTTTTCTCCGTTTTTTCCTTCGTTTTCTTTGCATCGAAATATGTCCCAACCGATATTGAATGGTCAAACAGTATTATTTCAATTAAAATCAACTTTCAATTATTCTTTCAAAAACATAGGCAATAAATTTAAAAATACCAAATTCAATGTCTCTTGTGTAATTATTCCATTCAACACCCAAATTTGATGATATTGTTCCCATGGAGTCGTTTGTTCCTAAGTAATTTGAGATGTTTCAGAAAGCGAAGAACATCGCCAGGAGAAAACTTTAGAACGAATAAGCATTCGATTTGTATTTCCTCAAGATTTGATAAGACATTTTGTAGCTCTAATATTTTACACAACGAATCCGCATCCACACAACCTTCATTAAGCTGCAATGTCTTCAAATCTTTAACGTTACCAATAAATTCGCATAATGCATCCTTTACTTGACAACTACCCCTAATCCTAAGATGCTTAAGATTTCCAAATGAAAATGGATATTTACTAGATCGCATACCATAATACTTGAAATATTCAATATTTTCAAAATGAATTTTTTTCGAACTCTCTCCAAAAGTGTTAAATTTGTAAGAATATATCTCTATTTTGTTGACATTTGGTAGATTGCTTTCATTAAGAAATTGTATGTGATTTATGTTTTGATCTAATGTAATTATTATTTTCAAATATGTTACTTTTTCCAATGGTTTTTGTAAATCTTTGAAAGTAGTTTCCGATCTATCAGGGAATACACATAATCGTTGTAATGAATCAGAGCAATATATCACCAAATAATTTTCGATTTCAGCGCAAAGCTTTGCATTTAACCACCGAAAATCGACTTCGAAATTCTTAATTACGTGTCCAAAATTGCGTAAGACTTTCAATGGATTTGTTTTGATTAATATCATTTTCTCCTCATCATATTTTGAAGAACTGAAAAAACAAAAATTCAATTCAATTTTAATCGAATCATTTTTGAACTGATTGGTGAAATACCTTTTCCTATCATTGTTTGTCAGTGTTTGGCTGGCAAAATTCCTTTTGTAGACCTCACATACTGCAGTATAAAATTGTTTGCTGCTTTCAGCAAGATTTAACAAGTCGTTAAATTCCAAATACTCAAAAATAGTTTCCATGCAGTCAGTATTTAAATCCGTAATTTTCGTTGTCTCTAATATGCTGCTTGCATTTTCTATTTCTTTTGCGTTTTTTTCGATTAACATTGTCACATTTTCAATCACATCATTTGATTTGAATGAATATTTGCCCGATTTATTTTTAACTTTCTCATATTCCATTTTTTTCGCTAGAATTTCCTTAAGATGGTATTTTAGAAAATATTACAAAAATCTTTGTTTACCTAGTTTCATAATAGTTCGTTGAAAAACAATGTAAACGATAAATCGGTAAACTTGAGCATATAATAATATAATTTAAGCACGTCAAAATATTGAAAAATCGATTTTTTTTATATGCTTTATGTTGTGTGAACCATACGTATTCACAAATGTGAACCATAAACATAACTAAGACCAACTTCACTGTAAACATTTGATTTTCACATTTCGCGCCAAACGTCAAACTGCAGTTTCGTTTTTTCATTCGTTTGTTCATTTACAATTGTTAAATCGTTTTTAGGTCAATAATGGAAGATTCGATCTATAATTCCCTTCTAGAAAGAAGCGATTCAAAAGGTAAATACAATTTCAAATTTGTTGTGAATCGTTTGTTATTTTTGCCTTGTTGACGAGTTGTTCTCTGTGCAGCTTTTGAATAAATTCGCTGACTACGTTTCGAGTCATGCAGAATTGTACATACGAATTGCAGCCGCGAAGGAAATTACCCGCCAATTATCAAGTCCCAAAAAGTTCATTGAAATTGAAAAAAAGATCAGACTGGATTAAAGAAACGTATGAAATTTTAACTGCTCCAGATTCGACAGCTCGAACAGTCACGGCTGCACTCGAAATTCTCGGTAACTACACTAAAAACAAACTATTTTTCTTCAATGAACAGTTCATTCCAATATTTCTATATCTTTGCAGAAAATTTCGTTGATTGTCTGTCAAATGAAACTGTCGATTTGATGGACATAATTCAAACGTGCTTGGGAACAGAGGTACAATTGGAAGCCGATTGAAATGAACTGTATAATGCTGTTTTGATCTTCACCACTCGATTCATTCAATGTCATGCCATGTCAATATCAGTTGCAAAGGATCTTCTTAGTTCGATAGCGTCACAATCAGTAGTGTTTGTGTCAAATGTGCGTGTTACCTTTTTCATTTTTTTGGAAAAGTTGTTTCAAAAAATTAAAAATCATGTCAACGACATCCTGAAACTTTTAGAAGCTAATGGCTTTTTAGCGCACCTCGATGCGATTGCCCTAGAAAAAGCATTGAGGGATGTTAATTCACATGCAATCAACAATTTTCTTCAAAAAGTTAATCAAATTTAATCGATAATGCTTCATATAGCACATTTGAAAAAAGTCATAGTATAAACAATTGAATTTTTACATTCAATTCATACATACGTTCCGACCTCTGTCGGTTTAAAAAAATAAACGAAAAAGCATTTGTAAGCAGCGTTTTTTTTATCTCACCGTTACAGTAATCATAGTTTTATCAATAATATTTAATTAAAAATATCTTTATATTTGTCTTTTAGTATAATAATAATTGATGATAATACACAACGAAAAATGTAACATAGATTTGCAATTTTATGTATTGATTTGATCAAACTGATGTAGCGCTGTTGCGTTAACAAAACCAAAGTTCCATGTCATATTTGGATTATTGGCATCGCATTGGTTTACAAAGATTTTCATGGTTTTTGCATCAAAGTCCAAGCACCGATCATTATGTTGAACCCACTTTTTTTCCTACAGACACGTTAAGATAATTTAATCGATTACGAAACGTAAAATTCGAAAAAAATATTATATTATGTAATCCAAAATATTATGAATAATTCTTACGATATTATATTTCCAGAGCTGATTTCCTTTTTTCCCATGACAATTGTAAAAAATAATTGGTGCGTTTGTATATGACGTTGAAACATCCCAACACTTTGTTGTGCCGTGTACTCTTATGTCTTTGTGCCAAGATAAAACGAAGAATTGATTTAATTGCGGTCGTTTATGATTTTCAGCACACGTGTATAAGCCGAACTCTTGGCCAATACCATGATTCAATGAGTCGACACACAGATTTGGATGTGATTCACTTTGTATAACTCCAGAGGCAAAATCAGGCGGCTCTACCAGTGGATATTTTTTTGGCAAATCAAATGCAATTTCTTCCATGAACCATTTAAACGATTTGCACTGCAGTTTTTCACGTATTGCTTTTTGTTCTGTCAAATTGCCGGCGTCAATACTTAAATATTTTTCAGGATTACGCTGATATAAATATTCTTTATACTCATCCATCCAGACTTCCGCAACACGTTTGTAATTCTGAGATAAAGAAAGAACATGAATACGTCGAAATTAAAAACCAATGAAAAACTATCGACCACCTTATGCAGAAAGTCGCCTCTTCTTCCAGTTGGCTGTGGTACACCACCTCCCCTATAAATATGACCAACACGTGAACAAGGAGCATCATACATTTCTCCCCCACATTGCCAAATTTTGAAACTTAACTCATATTGTTCACCACCTGAAATAGATATATTCACTTAAAAAACTTTTAGAGTTTCACGTATTTTTTAAAACTTTACCCCAAATATCCAATCCATCATCGTAACCTCCCAATTCCCAGAAAAATCGGGCACTTATTGCGAATAAACCGCCAGCCATTACTAAAAATACGATGTAACGTAAAATATAAACTTAATATCAGACTTAGAGTATTTCATTCAATCTTACTTGGACTTTTAAATGGTCGCGTTGGATGCGCTAAATCTTCAGGCAGTAAAGGTAGCCGTTTGTAGAAAAATTGCCAATCAAATGCACCTCTCGCACCTTCATCTTGTGCTCGATATTCGAAGGTATCGTAACTAATAATATCGATGAATGGACACACGCATACTTTATAATTTTCAGCAATGGGCTCTAAAACAGGACAAATAGTAGTTTCGCGAACAAATAGATTACAACTATTTTGTATACAAATATATTAGATTAATTTACCCAATAATGGTGGTAACCAGTTTGTATTCGCTTCGGTGTGCGAATCTAAAAAGATTAAAACGTCACCATTCGCAGCTGGAGAAGAGATAAAATTATTACGGTTGTTATTTATTTTGTTTTTCGGTATTAATATTTGTTTTATACCCTTAGCTCCGGCTAAACGTGCCACTATCAACCCTGATCTTTCGTTCAACCGAATAATTTTGACTTTTGGCAAATATTTTGCAACATATTGATCGAGTTTTCTCTTTAAAAATTGCTTATTACTAGCATCGTCTACTAAAATAATTTCCATAATCAACTCTGGTGGTGATCGATTCAGTACACTGTAAACTGTACGTAAAAGTGTGCTCCAATGTTCATTAAAAAATGGAACAATTATGCTCACGGTTGGCAAATCTTTTAAGTATTTCAATTTTGCGCAGCTAGTTAGTTTAAATAAAATAAAATTAATTAAATATTAAATCATGAGAATCATTAAAAATTACACACTCTTTATGGCGAATATCTTTAACAGATCGATTAAGTGCAATTTTATCACTAAGCAGTGCATTGAATCCGTTTTGATCAAATAGTTGTTTGCGTTCGTCTTCCAAATCTGGTGATAAAAAAGCGGCGATACCATGTTCGCCGATACCATGTCGTAATTTTTCTGCTTCAATCAATTTATAATCGTGCCAATCTATTTTCAATTGTTTAAATTTTTTTAACTAGGGTAAAAAGAATGGAATAGCAACTTTTAATTCTTCAGTGATGGTATAGAAATTTTTAAGTGATTATACCTCATTTTTTACACTATTCATATAAAATGAACCTTGTCGAGGATGAATTGAACGCCTTGCACTGGCCAGTGAATGCATGAGATGATGTGATGAAAAGAATGTTTTATATAGAAATATTGTCAAAAAAACCATCAGTGCATACAGCAACATGAATTTGAACAGGCTAGTCAAATTTCGGCGCATGGTTATCGTCTAAAAAAGATGATTTACAAATGAAATGATTTAGTTATTTAAATTAAAATTAATCTATGAGAATCGAAAGCTTTGTCCTGCTTTTGCTTATGAATTTAAAAACGGATGCTGATTAGATAACATGTATGCTACTTTTTGGATTTTTATTCATCGAGCGGACACAGGCAGTTTTTTTTTTGGATTTTATTAAAAAAAAATTGACTTAACCAAGCAAAAATTCAATTAGCGAAAACGTAAATGGGTCACTCTATGGTCTATGTAAGCTGTAGCTTATTTGAGGTTTTGATTGAAACTAAAAATACATATGCCTTTTTTTCATTTTTCATTAAACCAAATGTTTATTCAATTAAGTGTTTACATTCTACCATATGGCTTTTTTTAATTTCGCCTAATATGCAAGTTTGTATATAATAATAAAACTGTGTCATTTTGAAGTGAGGTTCATTTTAATCCAATGAATTTTATATTTTTTGAGAATTGTTAGATTTATTTATAATATTGATGTTTTAATAATAATGCAAACGTAAAACACAGTAGATTCAAACAACTAAATCAATAATATGTTAAAATGACTATTAAAGCTATGTCGAAACATTTTCGTTGAATACCTGAGAATAAATGAAACATAAAAATATATATAGAATTCAATAATCAATAAATCGTTATCAATATGTAATTTTTTTCGTTTCTAAAGTGATAAATATTATTCTAATGATAACGTACCAACTAATCGGACGAAAGTCGATTAGTAGACGTTAATATAATTGCGGAAAAAATATTATCGAACCTTTTAACAATCACTGACCAGACAGGGAAAAGACCTCGCACTATTTGAATATAAACATAGTTTTACTCCAATATAAGAAGAAATTACCTTTTTTCACATTTTTTCATAAACCACTTGTTAGGGGAAGACGGGGTAAACCGACGAACTTTTGATTTTCTTCAAATATCTCGTAACTCATTCAAGTATTCGGGCTATTAATTGTACCATATTGTAGGTAGTTAAAATGCGCATATTTTGATAAAGCACTTTGATGGTATGCGATTAGATTATTCCCGAAAAATATATTACCATTTTTTTTTTTTGAAACTCGATTTTCGGGGTAAACCGACGCAGCCCAATTTTCATTTTATTTAAATCTAATTGTTACAAATACAAGCAGTCATAGCCATACGAACATGGTCTTTTATGTTTCAGCTATGTTTTTTTATTATAATGGCATTAAAATATGAATTGAAAATAGATAGAAATGTGAAAATAAGTACAAATTGAGAAGAATAATATTTTTTAAAGAAATAATGAAGTGCAAATAATACAAGCAATATAAGTGCTTTCATATCTATTACAATCACCTTTATTGTTTTCACTCCATTTCATCCCATCAAAGTGATTCACAAGCTGAATCAGCTGCATGAAAATATCTCAATATATTGTCTAGAGCTGCCCCATTCTTTGCTATATACCTCTTTTCTTTCCTCTGAACAGAAAAAGAACATGATAAAATTTAAAATATAACAAAAAACAATGATACTCTGATAAAAATATGCTTCAAATCGCGAAAAACAGGTGCATTGATTTACCTCGAGAAAAATGCGTCGGTTTACCCCGTTCAAACTTGAACTTATGTTCAACTTTGAATTTCGATATCACAAAACTCACAAATAATATTACCGCGAAAGTACTCGACATCAACTATGTAAAATACCTATCTTCAGCTGATATTATTGGGTGTACAGTCAATGGAATTCAAGAAAATGCCTTTTTAATTTTTAAAAAACCGACGTTTCGATCACATTTATTCGATCTTCCTCAGGGTCAAAAATCACAACATTTCCTATCGTCAACAAAATCCGAATATTGTGTCATTATCAACAAATTTCTCATGAAATAAGTGAAAAAACAAAGTCAATTGATAAATAAAATTAGATAACATTACATCAGCTACAGAAACTATTCCTAGCAAAATCCTAAATTTGTTGATAATGACACAATATTCGGATTTTGTTGACGATAGGAAATGTTGTGATTTTTGACCCTGAGGAAGATCGAATAAATGTGATCGAAACGTCGGTTTTTTTAAAATTAAAAAGGCATTTTCTTGAATTTCATTGACTGTTCACCCAATAATATCAACATACAACAGAAAGCAGTCGGTAGCAAATATGATATCTTCAGCTGAGATCAGTGATGAAATGATCATGATAATTCTGTGAGTGCGAAATATTGTAACACAAGTGGCCAAAAACACATTTGTCGCTGTGTATCGTTCATTGAATACTGAAAATGAAAAGTGTCTCATGTCAAATATGGAGGATCAAATGGCGGAACTTCTCATATAAAAACAAATGTGTGTACACGTCCATTTAACGTTAAAGATAAGCGTCACGTTATTTTTTGTTAAAAAATTGTTGTCGAATAAAAAACACACGATGTATATAATATTTTAGGGCGGTTTAAAATTCTGTTCGAACAAAAATCAGTTGATTTGAGTGCTGTTACATTGACATATAGTCTATAGCGCTTGCTCTTTTCTCGTTCAACCAAAAGCGTGGAAGAATGACAAAGACAGCGTATGGCGTTCAAGGATGTTTACAGCATTCGAGTGTTGATGCTGAACAAGTAATGCACACAGATTTGAATATATCTTTGTGTGCAAACTACTGTTCTTATTTCAAATTATATATTCGTTCGACGTTGACACTCTAACGCAGTGAGCGTCGTTCAACGTCATACGCTGTCTTTGTCATTCTTCCACTTTTTTGGATCAATCAGAAAGGAGCAAGCGCTATAGACTACATGTCAATGCAACAGCACTCAAATCAACTGATTTTTGTTCTAAAATAATTTTTAAGCCGTCACGCTCCTAAAATATTATTTACAACGTGTTTTTTTTATTTGACAACAATTTTTTAACAAAAAATAACGTGACGCTTTTCTTTAACGTTAAATGGACGTGTACACCGTCATTTGTTTTTATATGAGTTCTGACACAAACACTTGACATATTGGCGTTGTCGTTTTCGAGATATTTTGAGTGCGTCGGTTTACCTCGTCTTCCCTTATTTCTGAGCTGTTTTCTATATAGTAAATATATTTATTTCTATAGAATGACATCCGTTTTGAAATTGGTACAACAATAAAAAATTGAGTCGACCAAATTTAAATGAATTTTGGAGCCGTTATTTTTATTTTTACTCTTACAGTTACATTTAATTACATCATAGAGTAATTTACAAACAAATGATAAAACTTAAACAGACTTATAATTCCTTAAATAAAAAGAGCAGAATGTCGAAAAGTAACGTGGAACGCTTATATGACAAAGAATATTTTATTCTATCCGTGCGATCAATTTTCTCTTGGTGTGATTACGTTTATTAGTCTGCAAACTACGTCTCATTCGATGTGGTTCATTGAAACTATCGGTACTTTCACGGTTGTGTCTCTTTTGCTGAGCGTGACGTTTTCGATGATTACGACTATTTGTGGTCACTAAATTTAAATTACTTTTATCGGCTGATAATGCTTGATACTGATACTGCGAACGGTGATTTTGATGACTATATCCGTGTGACGGCGCATGTGATCGACTCCATCGAATGTCTAGTCTTGGATTGCTAACAAACATGAAATAAATTAAATCCAAGCTTAAGAACTTATATTTTTGATCAAAGCATTTATTGGCTCTTTTTTGCAACATAACATACTCTTAACATAAACAGATGGCAAAATAAAAATTAATAAGAGAAAAATCTCCTTTTACCATCTATGCAGAATTACAGATGGTAGAATAAACCACTTTCTCTCTCTCTCTCTCTCTCTCTCTCTCTAAAGTATATTACGTGATAGTATGATTCGTTTTGCCATCTGTGGTGGAACTATTTCTCAAATTTGGTGTCATGTCTCGATGGCCACTTGGAAAAACATGTCTTATGGTCCCCAGATTCAAGACATAAGACAGCGATTTGAAAATAAAAGGGGTCCATTTTACTGGAAATTCATAAAAAATTGCAGTAATCTGATCACCGTGAAAACTTGTGAATCATATTTTCTGTCCAAAGTACATAATATCACCAAGTTTGATGAAAATTAAATCAAAAAAGGGGTACCTCCCATAAAAAAATTTCAATTTTTTCGTTTGTGAGCTAAAAAATAGAAATTTTGTATTGGATGCATACTTATTTTTGATTGAAATTTTATAAAAATTGGTGATATTATGTACTTTGGCCAGAAAATATGATTCACAAGTTTTCACAGTGATCAGGTTACTGCAATGTTTTATGATTTTCCAGTAAAATGGTCCTCTTTTATTTTCAAGTCGCTGTCTTATATCAAATAGAAAGTTGAAAGTTCTTTGATATCTGGAATCTAGGGACCATAAGACATGTTTTCCAAGTGGCCGCAAAATTATGCTGAAAATGTTCCACCCTATTCTGTATAGATGCTAAAATCCCATTTTACTTTGATTACTTTTAATTTTGCCACCTGTGTTTTATAAGTAGCCACACAACATTAGAAGAAATTCTTGGAATTGGGTATGTAGAATGAAGCGAGAATAGAATAAAGACGTTTTCAAAAAACGTATACAAAATTCAATCGTACTTACAATGGCAAAATCTGCGTTCCAGATAGAGACCAAATGTTTTCTCCAAAGATTGTCCAAGGGATTGCCGAAGCTGTTCAAATAAAAACAGATTAAAATTATGTTGTTTATTCAATATCATTTTTAGTTGTAAACTCAAGCAAAATTCAGATTAAATTCCATTTGTTACCTCTTTTGTTCAACTATTCTTAACAAAAGTGGTAATATGAAAAAAGTTAAACAGCACACACTTTTTTAAATCAGATTATTGGATATGAATCAATTAGAATAAAAATACAAATAAACCATGCAAAAGAATTCAAAGTCACAAACAACGATTACAAGCTGCAACTTATTAAATTTCAGTCAAAAAAGGACGTTTTTTTGACGAGCTGAATTGGAGAAAATGTAAAAAAAATGTTGGCGGTTTTTCTTATTTTCAATACAACGTAGTTGAAAATTTATTATTAGTGAAAAGCGTTTTGGAAAACAACACACTTACCTGCCTGACAATCAGTTGGTTCAAAAAATGCGCCGGCCAGCAATGGTTGCTGATATTCGTCTTCAACATCTATGACAACCATTGGATCTGCTACTGGACTACCTTTGTTGTGGATTAAGCTTGCACGGTACATTTTTTCCCAATATTTAATCACTTGACGCACATCGATTTCCACCCATTCACTATTGATTCGATTCAGAGTAAGGCTATGACATACCAATTTTTTCAGGATCGGCTTTGACTCTATTCCAAAAATCAGCCGAAATAAATTAAATCTCGTTTTACTATTATAGTCCCGTATATTGTTATTATTCGTTTAATGTATATTATAGTCCCGTATGAAAAATTACTGACTGACTAGTCAGTTAACTACCTTGAGACGTTTTTGGCTTAAGCCAACTAATATTGAAGTCATTTAAACTTGATTTGCTTGATTTTTCAGTCGATTCCAGTAGAGAAAAATATAACTTCAAATCAACTTCAATCACAGTTGGCTATAGCCATCTAACGTCCTAAATTAGTCGTCTGTTTAAAAAAAAATCAGAAAATAGACGACTGAAGTCAACTTGGTCGACGGTTTGAGTAAACAAAATTAATTTTCAGTTGATTTCAGCTAGTCAGTCAGACAGTCACTTTATTCCATACGGGGTTCTTACAAAAATTGTGTTTCCATGATCTTCATAGAATATCACAAAAAGAGCCGATTCAAAGCAATATTGCATCGTTATTCGGAACATGTTTATGAAGCATCACTTGCGAATTTTGTTTGTTTCGATATTCTTTGAAATTATTTAAATGTCGAAATATTATTTTGGAAAAAAAAAATCGTCGCAAATATTCAAATTTATTATTACCTCCACGATGTAAATGCTTCACAAATATCGAAACTTTAACATGAATAACATCATCAACCTCTGAACAACCGTTTTGTGAGTCTGGTTCACTGCTCACACTTCCATCGCCAACTGCCAAATTTTCTGGAATCTTTTGTCGAAGTCTGTATTTGAAAAAAATGGAGCCGAAAATGAGTTCACTTTGCTTTGCATCAAGTAAAACTACTAATTTTTAGCCTACCGTAAAACCGCACGATGCAAAAATGTGTTTGGTCGTAGGTATTCAAAAATGCTTGATGAGAAGTATAATTTCGCTGTATTTTCTTCCAACCAAGATGTTTGATTATTTTTACTACCTTTAAAATATAAAATTGAGCAGTATTTGAGAAAATTTGCGCTTGGTTTTCAGTTTTTTTTTTTAATTACATACAAAGTGGGTAAAAGGCAACATCATTAATTGCCGATGTGCTTGAATCCAGCGCGGTTATACGTGTTGAATTTCGTTCGACAATCGATTCTAGACGTTCCTTTAATATGTTCAAAAATCTGAAAACGAAACATAAAATATGTTTGGTTGTAAATTGAATAAAGAGAAAAAATGTAATTTATACATGCAAAATTTACATTGCAAATATGTAATTAAAAGTTCATTCATAAAATATCGTAAAAAAATGACTTCAAAAACAATTTACGAATTACTTTACAAAAAACTGGAATTTTCAATTTTGAACCAAAAAAAAAGAAGATAAAAAACATAACTCAAGAAAAAAAATGAATATCAGTTGAAGATCGGATTACATATTGTGGAGTCAAAACATAGAGGCTTGGTGTCTCAATTAAATGATGAAAGACCTAACGAAAACAATGAAAAAGCCAATACACTCAAAAATATGCAGGTGCTTCATTAATTTGTCCGTCTGTCTCGTAACCGAGCACTCAATTACTTGTGTGCACTGCATACTTTATAGTATTTGTATGTATATGCGTATTTGTCTCGTAAGCTCCCGTTCAATTCTTAACGAATGTTTACCTAATTGTTATAGTCAATAAAACCGGAGCTTATGCATTATACATTTTTGATTATTATGCACGCTATTTATGTGATTTTTTTTGTTATTTTGTGTTTGAAATTGGGTATGAGAAAGGAACTCCGTGTTAATTGCTTGTTTTCAAACATCATCAATAAATTCATAAAGTGAATTTAATCCAAGCCAAAAGTGAGTATAATTTATCGTAATAAAAATTGCCATAATTCCCAACATTAGAGGCTAACGTGGTTTTATTGAACATGTTTTTGTATTTGGTTTGTTTCTACACAGTTTATTTTGAATATTTTTTTATTGTTGATTAAATATTTTGTCCTTTGAAACTTAAATAGAACTTAAGAGAGCGCTTTTATTTTTCACGGTTTCAGCAAATTTTTTACTGATATATAATTGCGGGTCTAAAAACAAAAGAGCGACAATTTTCTACTTATAATTGTACGATTACATTTCGTTTGACTAGGGCTCTGCTATTCAATTAGCTGTGTTAAGAAAGATTTGCATATCAAATCGCATTTAGTTTTGGCTTACGTCAACAACTAATTTTAATGGCATTAAATTTTATACAATCGTAAACATAGTTTATGACCATGCATTCTCGAAAAGTTATAAAGATTACACCACTTTGAACGTCGGCCAATTTGAAATAAATACATTTTTATGGACTTTCTCCATTCATTCGTGTTAAACTGAAAAAAAGTTATTGGTTTAATAATAAGAAAAGAATTTTCTGAAACACATTTTCGAGAAATTTTAACGATTTTGGCACCGTTTTCAAAAATGCACACAACAATGATTCAATTTTTTCTTTCAAATGATAATTAAAACCTTTGCTATAAATAAAAGCATTTGGAGCTGTAAATCTATACATTGTTTTCGAACTCAATTCTTGAATAAATCCATTTTTCTTACTTCGGCTATTTAAAACGAAATTACTTCATAGAATAACAAAAATTTGATTTGATAACATTCGTTCTCAATTGGGTTCTTCTCTCTCGTAATGAATCTTATCACTTGAAATCAATAAATAAATATTTTATATGACTCTCTAGAGCACAAGCTTGAAAAAGGCATTGAGATGTTTTTTTTTTTTTTTTGGAAAATCTTCATAACATTTTGCATATGAGTGTATTTTAGAACGTAAATACAGTTAATTTTTGCGTGTGCAGTCGATGTAGCGTATCGAACGGAATATGTGCTAGACACGCAGCTAGACTATTTTTTAAAATATAAAAAACCGGAAAGAACATAAAAAACTTTCTTTCAACCGATATGAATGCAAAAGAGCAAGAGAGACTGAGAAAGAAATAGAACGACAAATCTGTAGTCGGTTTCGTTCAATCACTATGATTCCAGCTTGCGCTAGCAAACCGACTACGTTTTGTTGTGTATTGAGAAAAAAACCAAACTGTGATATGTCTGTAATGCGCGTTATAATAAGAAATTCTCTTTGATTTACATTGGCATAGGTCGAACATTTGATCAACTAGCTCAAATAAAGAAGTGTGATTAGGCCGCATTAACATTTTAGATGTATGTATTGCTATTCAAATTCTTTAACATGTGATCTTTGCTCTTGAATTTTGTATACTACCTTTTTAATCTTAATAAAAAAAATATTCTTTTTTCTATCTATAGTGCGTTTTTTCATCATTCGTAAAAGTTATACATAATTAAAATCGTATTTTTATGACAAAGTTTTTCAAACTGAAATTAATAAAACTTTCAGTTTTGATCCGAAGAAATTAAAGAAAACGAAATAGAGAAAAAAATAAAAGGAAATCATGCGAGCAGGCGATAAAATTATAAATGAGGTGATGTTCACGTTGACATGTCAAACCAAATTGATTTATTATAATTTTCTTCTCTGTAAATTGTGTTTTAAAATAAGCACGCTGATTTATTGCTGCGCATTCATCATCATATAGAATTATAGTGGATTCTGAAAATGAGTGATTTTATATGCGCAACTGGTTCGTATACGTTATGTATTAATTTAAAAATGTAACATAAAAGAACGGCAAAATGGTTTTTGTGTCACGAATTGTCCAAATATTTGTAGTAAAAAGTGATTTAAAAAAAAAACTAATCCTTTCAAACAAGTCAAACTACTTGGAACATTTTCATGTTCTTAGTTTCAAAGATAATTTAAAGTTTGTTTTTTTTTTTAAAGCAAGAATGTACTGGTTTCCATACACTAAACAGGATCACCGAGTGTGTATCTTATATGTTTATTGAAATAAGATCTTATGGTATTCGCTGAGTCAGATGTCCACAGCTCTAATCGCACATTAACGGTTGTATATTATGTGCCTGTTTTTTTATGTAGCAAACATTGAATGGGAATTTCATGACGAATGGACAAATTGTTTCATTCATTCATTTTTTATTCAACCCATTGTTATCAAATGAATTCACATAACTAAATATTGTTTAGACTGAATATTATTTATAATTTGTTTGACTTACTCAGCTTTTTCGGCTTCAATTCCAATGGGTTCACCGTTTGGGCCTTCTTTTGTTTCATCTTTGGCGACAGCTTTTTCGGTGGTTGTTGTACGAAAATTGTAAATATTGCCAGTATGATGCGGTTGAGCCATTCGTCGCAAAATTTCATCTTTGCTAACATTGTGATTATTTAGAATTTGATTGATTTTCGCCGAATCGGAATCATTCATATTTAAAATTTGATTAATCACTCCATTGGACACTTGATAAAAAGAATGAAATGAGAAATTTATTTTTGGAGAAAAATTATATCAGACAGAAAATTGCATACCATCAATCCGTGGAAAAATTTGCTGTGATTCGGTTTGGCTGACTGAATTCAATGAGCTGCTATTCAATGGTATTGGTAATGGTAAAAGAAGAAATAAAACCACGAAATATTGCGATATCATTTTTCTTTCAGAGAATTGGTACCGACGATCGTTCTTTTCTTTTATTCAAAATTGAAAATGAATATAGACGTACAGTTACCGGCTTATGAATATGGAATAAATGTTCAAGTTCGATTGAATACCGATGGTATAAATTTCTCACATGCACAAAAAACACAAGATTAGAAGATTTTCTTTTAATAATTCGAAGATGAGGTAATATATTTTCAAAAATACTTTGTACAATAAAATAATACAACCGGCTAGTAAGAAAGTTCAAAGTAAAATGATTTGTGGAAGACTTTTTTGAAGACATAAATAACATTTCGTACATCATCGTATGCATGTGTACATGTACATACACAGCGGGATACGAGAAAATGATTGCAACAATAACATCGATGACGGCGATGACTGCGGCGGTGGCGTTAGCGTCAGCGGCAGAACGAATTACAGCGAGGACGGCAATAGCTAGTTCCATAAGTACGCGAATATTATGCTTCAGTAGTAGCCAAACAGTCAGATAAGCTGTGCGTGCCTGTTCGTCGTGACTTCGACTTTGCGTAGGCAAAATGCTAAAATTGCTCAATTGACTAAGAAAGAGAAAGAATTTTATATATTCCAATTAAGAAATACTTCATTGTGTAGCCGTCGGAGAGAATCTAAACAATATTTTCAGTGGTTTTTAGATTTAGACATTTCTCTCACTGATGTTTTTCGAATACCTAATTTTTGCTTATTTTCATTCGCTCCATGAGCTTCTCAGCTTTTTCCTTAATGTATTAATCTCTATGCCTTTCTGTCCACCTTTTGTCCATGTGTTTCACCCGCACATCAATTTTAGCTTTGTCAGCGAATCATTTTATTTTGCCACTTATGTTTTATTCTTATTTCTCATAATAATTTGGTCTCTTTAGAGGGAAGAGGAGAGGCCTTTTTCTGTTTCGTTCATTTCCGTTTTTCCTCACTTTATGCATGTGTGTGAAACACGCGTAATTTTTGTTTATTTTAATAAATCTTTATTTAAGTGAATTCGAAACTTAATAACAAGAAATTGTATATAATTTAAATTGAAATGTTGTGAATATTATAAATAAATAATGAATTTGGATCGAACTATTATGTTGTCAGCATATGTAAAGAGACGTACATGATGAATTAATTTAAGAAGAGAGTCAAAAGAAAAGTGAACAAAGTATTTGAACGGTGAAAAAGAGAGAAAAATGAAATAAAAATATTGATAAATTGGCGATTAGCAACATTGTATATGCTGTTTGAAAAATTGCTGGAAAGTTCAGTTCATAAGACCAATGACTTGAGGTTTTCTAACGTATGAATATCTTTGGTGTTTTTACTGCTGATTCTGCGGTAATATTCGGCCAAACATAATTACAAAGATGTATATACTTGATTTATGACGGTGTATAATTATCGATCTTGTCAAACGGCTTCTGTTTTGCATCAATTTCTTTTTATTTTCGTTAAAATTGAAAAGCAACAATGTACGTGACACTTTTACACAGCGAAACAACATTCAAAAGTTTTACTTGACTTTGAAAAATTAAAGTTTTTGCATTTTGTATGTTTGGTCGTCAACATAGCTTCAAGCTATTATTAAATAATGTAGTCCAAGTGTTTTGTTTTTCTTTGAATGTATGTTCCGTTTTGCGAAGCATAAATGCGTGTTCGAGAACAGATGATTTAAGAGCCATAGATATTTCAAAATTTTACAACAGTTTTTTTCTTTGACAGATTTTTTAAATACCTAATGAATTGAAATGTTTTAACTTTTCCGTCACCTTAATTTGAGTTGTAAGGTTTTCGAGCAAATATTTCTATATTCGTTAAATATATTTTAAATATTTTTGAAAAAAATTATAATTTGTGTTTTTTATTAGTTTTTGTTGTTGTTGTTGAACATACTGTATCAGTCAATCAAATGAAAAAATAAGTGAAGAAAACTTCTTATTTTGATACAAATTTAACGTGATTTTATTTATAAAATGCTAACGTTTTCGGAAATAATGTTTCCATCATCAGGCGAGCTATAAAACTGAAATCTGTACAAAAATTATGTCATATGTTTACTACAATTAGAAAATTTAGTTGATGTTTAAAATATAAAACAAATTTGAAAAGAGAAAAATAATCATGGTTACATTGATGACAATATTAAGTAATGGTATTTAAATTGAAAGAGATTCAAATTCAAATAAATGCAACTCTCTGTAAAAATTGTGGTAAAGTTTACGTCGGTCAGTGTTGTAGAGCGGTTTATAAGCGATATTCTGAACATTATACACCATTTCATAAAAAACAGTTCGGCAAATCAACACCAGCTGATCATATGCTCGAAAATAACCATGAATTTGCGGGTTTTCAAATGGATTTAATGGTCAATTATTTTTGGGAATAATCGATTCCAAATCGATTTCTGCAAGTTTCTCTATTATACATATAATTGTGTTTTCTTACATAGCGTCGCATGAAACTTGGAAGAAATTTAAATTATCCCACTCATTTCTTTGTACTAAAAATATGTGTCATGAGATTTGACTACTTTGATGAGAGATGTCGTTGTTCACTTGGATATAATAGTAAATGTTTATATGTGTATGTATTCCTATAAAAATTCACAATATATAAACAACGTGCTGGTTTGTATTATTGGCTATAAGTGTCTAGTTGAATCAGTCTGGTCGGGGCAAGTCATTCAATTTAAAAAGACAACATTTCAATGAATAGAGCTGTACAATTACATTGGCGAATCAGTTGCGCTATTTTCAAACAATATTTTCGACAACAAAAACAATTTAAAGCGACCGTCCCACATCTTCTATCTCAATTGCAGGTAAATTATGTTTGAATTTAATAAATTTTTGAGAAAAAATTGGTCGATTTTGTGGCATCAGCAATCAGTAATCGGTAAAAGACATATATAAGTATATAGAGTCCAACGTCCAATGTATGTACGTGTTTTTAATCTATTTCAAAAGTCCAAGGTACGAGTAAAAGACAAAATTGAAAGAAATTGATTAGGTTTTTCTTTGAATAATGTGAGAATTATTTTGAAAAATAAAAATACAATAAATTACATTATTAATTTAGCCGAATATTCATCTGGCTTTTAGTTTGAAGTAATTTTGGTTAAATTGTTTTTCATTTATTTTTGTTTCAAATTTTCAGAACGCAGTACAAATTAATCGTAAAATTGGTTGGTCGTTAGCGTTAATTGGCGGTTCAAAGGTGACAATGGCAGAAGAAACTGATATACAACATTTGCTACAAAATGCAGATCAATTATTTGATGAAAATCAATATCAGGATGCGATTGATCTGTTAAGAAAATATCCGGTATAGTTACTGTTTTGATTGTGTATTGCAAAAAAGATGGACTTGAATATTTCACGTTGAAATTAATAATTGTTTTTTTTTTTTTTTTTTCAACTGACTGAATCATCTGAGTTTGATGCCATTTTCTATTACAGAACCAATCGGATGCAAATATTTTGTGGCGAGAAGCACGTGCCCTATTCAAATTAGGAGGAACGAATAAAGCAAAAAAAGAAGAGAGCATTCGCGAAGGTTTCGATTTGATTGTTAAAGCATTAGAATTAGATGAGAAAAATTTCGCCGTTCATAAATGGTATATATATATATTAATTCAGATATCGTTGTAATTAGTAAGGCTTGACCTATATAAAACAAATAGTAGCACAATTATTGTGGAAAAATTGAGATTTGGTGGTGTGTATCGAAACAACCATGGAAGCAACGTCGCAGCGAAATAATATATAAATTCGTTTTTCCTCTCTATTCTAAACTTCGATATGACATTGTTTCTTTTTTTTTTAAATTCCTATAAATGCGTGTTTTGGTTAATTTAGGTATGCTGTTTTACTGGATGCTAAAAATGAATTAGATGGTGTTAAAGCGCGTGTTGCTCAATTGGAAAATGTCAAAAAACATATGGAGAGAGCTGTTGAGTTGAATCCGGAGGATCCAACTAGGTAAAATAACAATAACTATTTGATGATTGTGATGATATTAACACATAAATAAATTTAAATACCAGCTGGCATTTGTTGGGCAATTTTCAATACGGTTTGGCCGACATGCCGTGGTATCAACGGAAAATTGTTTCGGCGATTTTTGCAACACCACCCACTGGAACCTACGAAGAAGCACTCGAATATTTTCTCAAAGCTGAAGAGAAAAAAGCCAATTTCTATTCAATGAATTTACTATTCATTGGTAAATGTTACTACAATTTGAAAAATTATGAAGAAGCTAAGCAATTTCTTGAAAAAGCTGCCAACGTTCAAGTATTGTAAGTACATTATATGCCCTTTGGACATTTATTTTTTGCAGCTCACTTAATTAATTTCTTTGTGCAATTTGTTTTACTATAGAAATGAAGACGACAAAAAATGTAAGGAAGAAGCAACCGCTCTATTAAAAAAATTATAATCATGTGTTGTTGTTTATTTAACTGAATGTATTTTTCTAAATAATGACATGTTATTATTTTTGTGTTGGGTTTTTCTATGTTTAAAAAAATAAACAAAAATGCATTTGTAAGCAGCGTTTTTTTATCTCACCGTTACAGTAATCAATTCAACATTTTCGATTTAGTTTTTGTTTGAGTCGTAAAAAAAGAACTAATAAGTGAGAAAAAAATTAACCTTCTCGAAAACGTATCTTAATATATGTTCATAGTATGTTATTCATAGTGCCCAGCAAAACAAAACCTCTTTTATTATTTAGAAAAGAAACTTCTTTCAGTAATGTTATCAGAGAGTAGAAAACACTACCGCTATAGTAATACTATATTAACAGTGCCTATAAATAGTTACTATTTGTACACATTTCGATTGTGTGACCACAACAAAATGCGAACTCTAATGTGAACAATGCGGCTCTTTGTATTTAAAATCTACATACAAAGAGTTGCATTGTTCACATTGGAGTTCGCAAAAATTATTGTGATCACACAATCGAAATGTGTACAAATAGTAACTATTTATAGGCATTGTTGATATAGTATTACTATAGCGGCAGCGTTTTCCACTCTCTGAATGTTACATTTGATGAATCCATGAAAAAAAAAAACTATTATTTCGACAATTTTCTCCTTTCGCATTTCTTTATTAAAGTAGAATTTATTCGCGTAGTATAATTTTTGTGCTAAATTATTGGTTTTATTCAACTATTGTATGTTTTTCACATGAAAACAGTTTAATATTTGACTGAATGGATGCAAACAAACAAACAAAATTCATCATTAAAATTAAAAAAATCATCTCATTAATTTAAGCGGATATGAAAAAAGGTGAGCATTTCAAGAGTCGCTCGGGTTTGCTTTAAATTCAACATCTCGAGTGTGTAAACTTTATATAAATAAAAGATTAAAAAAATAAAGAATACATCAAAAAGTCTCATCTTTTTCTTAACAAGCTCAAAACCTTTAAATTTTTCAGATATTTTATATGCAAAAAAACCAAAACTCTTATGTCAAATACTATAAACTTTTTTCTTTCTAAATAAAATGTCATTCATTCTCTGGGCAAATTGGTTTGCCTTGCATTTTGAAGTATTTGAAACATGGATAAAATTGATTCACTTAAAAAAAATTAATTTCAATGAATTAAAAATGAAAGTATCAAATTATTCTCGGAATTATGGAAGGACCATACACACTGAATAGTAAATACAAAATGAATTTATTTTCTTGACCTGTAACGGAGTGAAATCTGTCGTGTTTTTTCTCCGTTATTTACTTCGTTTTCTTTGCATCGAAATATATTCCAACCGATATTGAATGGTCAAACAGTATTATTTCAATTAAAATCAACTTTCAATTATTCTTTCAAAAACATAGGCAATAAATTTAAAAATACCAAATTCAATGTCTCTTGTGTAAATATTCCATTCAACACCCAAATTTGATGATATTGTTCCCATGGAGTCGTTTGTTCCTAAGTAATTTGAGATGTTTCAGAAAGCGAAGAACATCGCCAGGAGAAAACTTTAGAACGAATAAGCATTCGATTTGTATTTCCTCAAGATTTGATAAGACATTTTGTAGCTCTAATATTTTACACAACGAATCCGCATCCACACAACCTTCATTAAGCTTCAATGTCTTCAAATCTTTAACGTTACCAATAAATTCGCATAATGCATCCTTTACTTGACAACTACCCCTAATCCTAAGATGCTTAAGATTTCCAAATGAAAATGGATATTTACTAGATCGCATACCATAATACTTGAAATATTCAATATTTTCAAAATGAATTTTTTTCGAACTCTCTCCAAAAGTGTTAAATTTGTAAGAATATATCTCTATTTTGTTGACATTTGGTAGATTGCTTTCATTAAGAAATTGTATGTGATTTATGTTTTGATCTAATGTAATTATTATTTTCAAATATGTTACTTTTTCCAATGGTTTTTGTAAATCTTTGAAAGTAGTTTCCGATCTATCAGGGAATACACATAATCGTTGTAATGAATCAGAGCAATATATCACCAAATAATTTTCGATTTCAGCGCAAAGCTTTGCATTTAACCACCGAAAATCGACTTCGAAATTCTTAATTACGTGTCCAAAATTGCGTAAGACTTTCAATGGATTTGTTTTGATTAATATCATTTTCTCCTCATCATATTTTGAAGAACTGAAAAAACAAAAATTCAATTCAATTTTAATCGAATCATTTTTGAACTGATTGGTGAAATACCTTTTCCTATCATCGTTTGTCAGTGTTTGGCTGGCAAAATTCCTTTTGTAGACCTCACATACTGCAGTATAAAATTGTTTGCTGCTTTCAGCAAGATTTAACAAGTCGTTAAATTCCAAATACTCAAAAATAGTTTCCATGCAGTCAGTATTTAAATCCGTAATTTTCGTTGTCTCTAATATGCTGCTTGCATTTTCTATTTCTTTTGCGTTTTTTTCGATTAACATTGTCACATTTTCAATCACATCATTTGATTTGAATGAATATTTGCCCGATTTATTTTTAACTTTCTCATATTCCATTTTTTTCGCTAGAATTTCCTTAAGATAGTATTTTAGAAAATATTACAAAAATCTTTGTTTACCTAGTTTCATAATAGTTCGTTGAAAAACAATGTAAACGATAAATCGGTAAACTTGAGCATATAATAATATAATTTAAGCACGTCAAAATAGTGGAAAATCGATTTTTTGATATGCTTTATGTTGTGTGAACCATACGTATTCACAAATGTGAACCATAAACATAACTAAGACCAACTTCACTGTAAACATTTGATTTTCACATTTCGCGCCAAACGTCAAACTGCAGTTTCGTTTTTTCATTCGTTTGTTCATTTACAATTGTTAAATCGTTTTTAGGTCAATAATGGAAGATTCGATCTATAATTCCCTTCTAGAAAGAAGCGATTCAAAAGGTAAATACAATTTCAAATTTGTTGTGAATCGTTTGTTATTTTTGCCTTGTTGACGAGTTGTTCTCTGTGCAGCTTTTGAATAAATTCGCTGACTACGTTTCGAGTCATGCAGAATTGTACATACGAATTGCAGCCGCGAAGGAAATTACCCGCCAATTATCAAGTCCCAAAAAGTTCATTGAAATTGAAAAAAAGATCAGACTGGATTAAAGAAACGTATGAAATTTTAACTGCTCCAGATTCGACAGCTCGAACAGTCACGGCTGCACTCGAAATTCTCGGTAACTACACTAAAAACAAACTATTTTTCTTCAATGAACAGTTCATTCCAATATTTCTATATCTTTGCAGAAAATTTCGTTGATTGTCTGTCAAATGAAACTGTCGATTTGATGGACATAATTCAAACGTGCTTGGGAACAGAGGTACAATTGGAAGCCGATTGAAATGAACTGTATAATGCTGTTTTGATCTTCACCACTCGATTCATTCAATGTCATGCCATGTCAATATCAGTTGCAAAGGATCTTCTTAGTTCGATAGCGTCACAATCAGTAGTGTTTGTGTCAAATGTGCGTGTTACCTTTTTCATTTTTTTGGAAAAGTTGTTTCAAAAAATTAAAAATCATGTCAACGACATCCTGAAACTTTTAGAAGCTAATGGCTTTTTAGCGCACCTCGATGCGATTGCCCTAGAAAAAGCATTGAGGGATGTTAATTCACATGCAATCAACAATTTTCTTCAAAAAGTTAATCAAATTTAATCGATAATGCTTCATATAGCACATTTGAAAAAAGTCATAGTATAAACAATTGAATTTTTACATTCAATTCATACATACGTTCCGACCTCTGTCGGTTTAAAAAAATAAACGAAAAAGCATTTGTAAGCAGCGTTTTTTTTATCTCACCGTTACAGTAATCATAGTTTTATCAATAATATTTAATTAAAAATATCTTTATATTTGTCTTTTAGTATAATAATAATTGATGATAATACACAACGAAAAATGTAACATAGATTTGCAATTTTATGTATTGATTTGATCAAACTGATGTAGCGCTGTTGCGTTAACAAAACCAAAGTTCCATGTCATATTTGGATTATTGGCATCGCATTGGTTTACAAAGATTTTCATGGTTTTTGCATCAAAGTCCAAGCACCGATCATTATGTTGAACCCACTTTTTTTCCTACAGACACGTTAAGATAATTTAATCGATTACGAAACGTAAAATTCGAAAAAAATATTATATTATGTAATCCAAAATATTATGAATAATTCTTACGATATTATATTTCCAGAGCTGATTTCCTTTTTTCCCATGACAATTGTAAAAAATAATTGGTGCGTTTGTATATGACGTTGAAACATCCCAACACTTTGTTGTGCCGTGTACTCTTATGTCTTTGTGCCAAGATAAAACGAAGAATTGATTTAATTGCGGTCGTTTATGATTTTCAGCACACGTGTATAAGCCGAACTCTTGGCCAATACCATGATTCAATGAGTCGACACACAGATTTGGATGTGATTCACTTTGTATAACTCCAGAGGCAAAATCAGGCGGCTCTACCAGTGGATATTTTTTTGGCAAATCAAATGCAATTTCTTCCATGAACCATTTAAACGATTTGCACTGCAGTTTTTCACGTATTGCTTTTTGTTCTGTCAAATTGCCGGCGTCAATACTTAAATATTTTTCAGGATTACGCTGATATAAATATTCTTTATACTCATCCATCCAGACTTCCGCAACACGTTTGTAATTCTGAGATAAAGAAAGAACATGAATACGTCGAAATTAAAAACCAATGAAAAACTATCGACCACCTTATGCAGAAAGTCGCCTCTTCTTCCAGTTGGCTGTGGTACACCACCTCCCCTATAAATATGACCAACACGTGAACAAGGAGCATCATACATTTCTCCCCCACATTGCCAAATTTTGAAACTTAACTCATATTGTTCACCACCTGAAATAGATATATTCACTTAAAAAACTTTTAGAGTTTCACGTATTTTTTAAAACTTTACCCCAAATATCCAATCCATCATCGTAACCTCCCAATTCCCAGAAAAATCGGGCACTTATTGCGAATAAACCGCCAGCCATTACTAAAAATACGATGTAACGTAAAATATAAACTTAATATCAGACTTAGAGTATTTCATTCAATCTTACTTGGACTTTTAAATGGTCGCGTTGG